TTAACGTGCGCCTTTTTTTTTTTTTCCTCCTGAGAATTGGGCGCCGCATGGACACCCATGGCACATAGATATATCCCTAAAGCTGTCTATACTACAAATAGTTGCACGATGGATCGATCCCACGGTGCGATCTGAACGCATATGGGTGAAGATGCAGTAAGCATAGTGCCGATTCGGGGGGGATATCCAGCTAGTAGACAATCTTCACCGGAACTTGTTGGCTCATAGTTTCTCCGAGGAGAGTATACTACTGTAGGTGCCGTAGTACCGGTATGCTGTGCCGAAAGGTTTGTAGTATCTGCCTAACATATACATGAGTACGCTCTCAACCTACCTAACTATATGCTCTGCCTTAACCCCTAGGTAGGTAGCTTAGGCTAGTGTCGTTGGACGGCTTTTGACACATCGTCCTATATTCCCGCTTGCAAGACTTGGCCTCCTGCAGGCCCAGCGGAGTGTAGAGATGCCCCGTTGCGAGGGGAGGCGAGCGGTCTGGCCGCGGGATGCGTCTGCCTAGCGCACACGTGCAGATCCCAAAGGAGAGAGAAAGAGAGAAAGGGGAGAGAAATCGACGATTCACGTCATAATCCTCGATCGCATTGAATCTGCTCAGAGAGCCACTTGTTGAAAGCTAAGGGCCGTGTTTCCTGTTTCGGGGCTGACCACTGGGCTTGGGCGGGCTTCACCTGCCTGGCCGGCGGAGCAAAACATCCGTCGCAGCTGCGGTGTCCAGAAAAGTACTTCGCGCCTTAACAGTTTCCTGGAGACCTCCTCCGGGCCAATCAGCCGCCTGAATTGGACTCGCCGCGCGCACCACGCATTGCACGTCGCATTTGCCACAGTGTGGCTGGGCAGCCATCCCTGCCAATCCCACGCTATGACACGCGTGCCTCCCATATGACGCAAAAATAAGCATGGCATTTCTTGCTTTCTCGTAATGCCCCGTCACATTTCCCATCTTCGCGGAATTTTTTCCATGCCCACAATTCCCGGTCCACAGCGGCCACTACGTAGTTGTCCTGCCTTCTGTCCTACCTATCCGATGATAAATATGATAAATATCCCGATGGCGGCGATAGGCGTACATGTCAGAAAGGACTCTCATCTCTGACTGGATCCCCAAGTCTCAAGATTTAGTTTCAATCGACTCGGAACTAAATCTCCTTGCGTCGAGCTGCAGCGTCTTCAATCGGGACGGGTGAGGCGAATGTACGACCTGGATCCTTTCGATATCTTCTCGCCCCCCAGAGATCTACATTTTGACAGCTCCTGTCAAAGATACTAACTAGCTAACCTAGGGTAGTCTACTACATACTTAGAGCCCGGGTCGATTCTCACCGTCCATGGCACTGGTCCATCTTTTAGGTGCCGCGGGATCGGTGTGCTCTAGTGTTAGGACTCGATCTCGTGGTTCACATATGGAGGAGACCCGGACTGGTGAGATGACGAGCCTAATGCAGCTCTATCTTGCGGCAATCCTTTTCAACGAGTAAGGAATATGCGCATAATTAATCAGAGACATGGCCTGGCAACCACGGCCCAATCGGCTGGTAAGGATGCGCTGCGTAACATGTATTATGCCAGCTCGATTCTGGTAATTATCTGGGTTCCTATTGAATCATGGCCATTTACATCAACCAAAGAATATCTACCAACAGGTAGACACACTTCAAGTTGCACTACGCGTAGCATGAGCGAACTACAATAATGGTGCTATAAAGCCTTGAATCGCAGATCGATTCTCGAATAGCCATGTCGCTTGCAAGACGGACAGGAAGGGGGGCAAGGTTGGCTTTAGATTCCAAATGCACCTGGCTGCCTAGAAGCAGAGAGCGTTCATTCTGTTACATTCTTTCCTTGGGCTAAATGACATGCATCTAGTCCAACTGCTTGTTCTATCACGGCTCTGCATAATCATGGCACACCGCTCCATTGAGACAACTTCATGCGCAGGTCAATAGATGAGCACAAGACTTTACGCGCTTCTGAAAACGTACAACGAATGACTACTAGGTTTACGCGTGCTCCCACCTAAACCTAATGTGCCAATTCAAGATGCATCACCGACCACTCGTCTCCTCTAACCTTAACCACCGTGCTTATTAGAGCTTGACTGAGGCAAAGAACTTACGCACTCCGCTGATTCAATGGTTGGTATCATTCGAATAGTGTGCACTACGACCTATATAATTAACCGCCTACCTAACGGTCACCATTGTCGTCTGCAGTATATACTACATCCCCTGTCCGGCATTACATAAACGCACTTCCTATTGATGTGACACCCGCAGTTGTCAAGAGAAATCAGTCTCATAGCGACTACCGCCCACCTTCGCTATGTACACTCTGTACCTGCTAAGGTATTATGAGGGGCTCTTAACTTTGAAGACACTTATCTTTCCTACCTATTGATGGAGCCGGTAGCGAACGACAACTACTTCCTACCTAGTGAAGTCCACATCCGGCCCAACAAAGAGGTTACATATGCTTGTCCCATGACTGAGTACGTGATGTACGACGGTCGGTACAGTCTCCAGCCCACATTCAATTCTCTATCGCCTAATGGAAAAAGGTTTCATTGCACTGATTTTGGGTATACCAGTCACGCTCTCTGCATTTTCCCACGACGCAGAACTAGTGCGAGTTGTAAACATTTGACTCAATTCGTTTCCTATCATCCACACTTGAATTGGGGATTGATTGCATTGGTAGTATGTGATTGCAGCTCAATAATCGCTGACTGGATGTAATAATCTGTCCGCCTCAATGATGCTCTTGCACGTCCGCATTTTATCTGGCCAGGAGATTCTACTTCAACTCAACCGTGGAGATCTCACATGATATGACATTAAGGACCCGAGGGATAGGAGCGTTCAAGAAAGTGTTTCATTTAAACCGTTAAATTGAATTTTGCATAATCAGGAAATATGATCCTTAAGCAGTCCATGCACGATCAGTTGAGTCATGGTTGCAGTTTCTCGCACAATATGGCCGAAGACTCTTTAAAACTTATCTGATGTATTATATACCTATAAGGTAGGTGTCAGGGACGGAGAGGGAAATGTCGCTTCAACAGACAGCCATGCAGTAACTTGGGATATGAGAAAACACTTACAAGAAGAACGAGCCCCTGATAACGACAGAGGACACCCTTATCTTCTCACACGGGGCCGTCCGTAAGCACCTCAGAAGACCCTGCGATTCAACGAGGAATACGCTGCCTGGCAGGAGTCATTTGGCGAGAAAACTGACAGTCCATCCTGCGAGGCGGCGGTTCTTGAATTCTGCCAGTAGAACAACGCCTTCGTGCGCGGGGCGTGGGGGTACCTACCTTCGGAGCCGGCGATTCAGCGCCTATTTCACCACGATGTTCTCTCGTATGACGGAGCGACTATCAGTATGATGTGGTTTGTGGCCGTGGCCGTGGCCGTGGCTCAGCTCAGCTCAGTCGTGCGACAATGGAGATGGAATCTTCAATTTTGCGCAGCGAAGTTGGCATGTCACTAACTGCCTTCAGTTTTGTACGTTCATGGCGGCGGCATGGTCGCCGGTAGTCATCGATGTCATAGCGGCGCAGTTAACTCTCCTCGCTGTACTCTCCTCTCGGGCCGCCCTCCCCGTCTTCGGCGTCGAGTACCGATCGGCTGACGCCTGAATTCCCTGCTTCTACTCCGCTGGAGGACTGCTATGCGGCGCTCATCTGGCTCCTTTTACATTTACGCGGGACTCGACATTAATCGAGCACGGATCGAGTTAATGGGGGATAGTACTAGCGGTAAGTATGCTGCCGCGACGGCACCGTTAGTTCATGATAGGGGTCTCAATCCGCCCGCCAAGGTCCCGGGCGCTCATATCTCTGATGCTCAACGATCGCGTGGCTGTGAATTTGGCATCTAAGGGAGGTTTATCCCTCTTGGCCTTTGCTACTGTCCCTCTGCTCAATATTCGCATGTGTTTGCGTGCGTGTTTTGGATTTGGTGCTGGGCGGTGCGACGGCGGCATCAGCCTGTTCAGATATCAGGAGCTTACCGGACACATACGGTGATGTGGGAGGGTTGGCAACGAGTGCGCTGTGTCTACGTAGAGATTGGAGAAGGTGGACGTCCACGTTAAGTCCCCATCTGCTGCCCGCTATTCTGTATGGTTTTGAGGCTGCCGCTGACGATGAATAAGAATCGGTCAATTGGTGTTTCAGAGGGAAATCATAGATACTTGCTCTGGTATTGGCGAATCGATCAAAAAACTGCTTTTCTTGACGAGATTCTTCGACCTAGGTAGATAGATATGTAGATAGACCCAGTCAGGGCCACGGAGAATAATGTTTTAGAGGCCGTCATGATGTTCGCGGTGACCAGTCCAATGGAAGCCGACAAGAGCAGACTTGACTTCTTGCTGTCACTAGGTGATGACGAGTTCTACTAGCAAGCTCGTCTGCTTACGCCTCATTTCATTTCCTACTTAACATTGATTCCCCTTCTCCTAGTCTAGACTTAGGTGCTGTTTAGCTTCTTGTCTTTTCCTCTTTTCCTCACTCGTCTCCCCTTCAACGCGCCAACGGGGGCACCAGCGTCGCTCATTGTTGAACAAGCACTTATTCTTGCGGAGAATATTTCGTAAACCGAGGCAGACTAGAAAAGTCGGGCTCTTCACATTCGTGCTTTTTCTTTTAACAATTAAATCAGGAATTGTAGGCTAAACCATCCTTCTTGGCAACAAGTCTCGGGATTTTCTTAAAGCTGAGCCCCCTAGGACTCTGCCTTAAGCACCATTTTCGATCGAAATATATATATGTAACGCTAGTCATGCTTTGATAGCTCCCATTTATTTATTTTTTCTTCGGGTACACATAAAACATGCAGACTTAACAGCAAATAATTCCGGCTGAAGCCTCGCTCTTTTTAGGCGGTCCACTTGGATGAATCCGCTTAATTCCCACACCCGTTTTCCTTGCGGCATAGTGACCAATACCACACTCACCACTCACCAATGAACCCTCCAATGCCCGGTTAGCTCAATCGGTAGAGCGTGAGACTCTTACAACGAGCTCCCGCGGGGTTCCACCTGCGGGATCACGTGATCTCAAGGTTGCGGGTTCGACCCCCGCATCGGGCTCAATCCCCGATGCTTCTCAGATAACTGAGAATAGCAACGATTTTTTTCTGCCTCCTTCATCTTTTTTTTTCTCTCTCTTTTTCCTTGTTCTTTCTTTCTTCCTTCGTCCCTTCTCCCATATACATTATATGGGTGTTTTTTAGTTTAATTTTTCCGCTGCTTTGTTTCCTTGTGTTCTTAAAAGTTCTGATTACTATTGTCTGAATAGGCTACGAGCTTGGTGGATGTGAGAAGGACGTTTTTGTCCCTGAGTGAATAAACAGGTCGGCTTGCCGGCAGTCAAGTAGGTCGGTAGGTAATATGTAGTAGATAGGTATGGCCCACTATTGCGGTAAATTAGTCCTAAGCTTCCCAAATATCTTTGTGTGCCTACCTACAGAATCAACTATAACCAATCCCCTAAGGTAGATTTGACCATATCTCCTGACAGCAAATGATATTGATCTAACAGGCAGATATATTACCTAGGCTGCGGTAAAGGTGAGGGTTTTATTTAGTATAAACGCATCTTGGGGCTATTAACTCCCCTGAGTGTCCCTGGATGGTCGATAATTCCAAGAGTCACATATAGCCATCCTTAGCCGGTATCAATCTCCCAGATAATCTACTCTATTCAAGGTCTACAATGTATAAAATCACTTCGTACACGAATTTACTACGATGAAGAGATAGCCTCTTTCCCGACTTCATCAAGCGCCTTCATCAGACCTTCAATAGTAGTCTGCCGCGTCTGACAGTTCACCACGACCCTGAAGAAGCTGCCGTTCTCGCCGGGCGCATAGTCGACCATGAACCCCCTGCTGACTAGATTCCGGGCCATCGTCTTCGTCCGTCGCGTGTTGGCCTCCGCGTTCGACTCCAACACCCCGCCGGGCGCGTGGTAGAAACAGACCTGTAGACAAGGTGGCGGATTGCTCGAAAGCAGCACGAAGTTATCCGCCTTCTCGACGAGGGATGCGAGTTGCGCCGCCATATCGAAGGCGTGGTCGACCTGCTCCTCGAAGCCGGCGGCGCCGTAGTAGATCCATGCCAGCGCGAGCTTCAGGCTGTCGCCGCGCCGGCCGCATTGGAGGGTTAAGTCTGCGAGATCCCAGTATTCTTTCTCTGCTGCCTCTTCGTCGTCGTCATCCCCGTGGAATAAATACCCAGCAGGCAACGTATTGGCGTGATGGAACACGGCCACGTCCCTCGTCAACAGGAAGGAGCAGGTTATGGGGACGTTCATCATCTTGTGCGGGTTGACCGTGATCGTGTTCGCGCGCTCAATCCCCGCGATCTTGTGCCGCTGCGCGGCCGAGAAGGCAACAGGTCCGCCCCATGAGGCGTCGACGTGCATCCACAGCCCGAACTCGGCGCACACGTCCGCGATCTCGTGGAACGGGTCGAAGGATCCTAGGACCGTGGTCCCCGCCGTGGCGTTGACGTATAGTGGCGTCATGCCCTTCTCCTTGGCGGCTAGGACGGCGTCGTGAAGCGCCGCGGGGACCATGCGACCCTCGCGGTCAACGGGCACGGTGATCACGTTCTGAGACCCTATGCCTGCCGTCGTGGCGGCCTTTTCTACGCTATAGTGCCCGTGCGCGCTCGTGAAGAGCGCGAAGACGAACCCGGCATTCCCCTGCGTCTTGGTCACGGGATATAAGCTGTTTCGCGCGATGATGAGCGATGTTAGATTCGAGGAACTCCCGCCTTGGCATGTCACGCCGCCCGCGCGCGGCCCCGTGAGCCCGAAGAGCGATGCCAGCGCGCGTGACGTGGTCTTTTCTATTACCGTGAGTGCTGGCGAGGTTTGGTAGATGTGAACCTGTTTAGGGGTCAGTATGGCACATAATGTGTCTAGGCTAGAATAAAATATGAATGAGATAGATGGGTGCCGTGGTATACACGGTTGAGCTAGACTTACATTTGTATTCAATACAGCCAGTAGCATCTCAGATATCACGCCGACCTACGGACACGAATCCAGTCAGCCCCTATCACAGATTCATAACGAGAAGACCAATTCGAGACGACGCTCTCTGCGTGGCGACTGACAGCATTCGTACTTGAGTACAGCTTATCGAGGAATCCCTGATCCCAAGTATTCACGCTGTATCTCAAGACATCTTGAATTGTGTCTAACAAGCCATCTTTGCCTCTACCTCGGCCCTCGGGCAAAGAGAACTGCAGGCGCTTGACGAGGTCCTCGGGACGATAAGCTTCCACGAGGACGTTTCGCGGCGACGGGCCTTCGCCGATGTGACCCTGGGCTCGGAGGGGAGCAGCCTCATCTGCGGCCCGCACGAATGGCACGATGAGAGATCTCACGGCATTTACTAACTATAGATCCAACAGGTTAGAAAATGCGGACATGGTGTGCGTTGAGCGTGAAGCTCATGCTATTTAGGTATATAATAACTTGTAAGTCTCAAGTGGGGCGCGGGTCCATGACCCCATCTATTCATCCATCCCATCCGGTTGTCGCAGTGAGGAGGGGTTTGCTAGAGCAGATCGGTCTACTCACATCTTCAACCTCGTCGGCTCTATTCAGCGGCAGCACGCCGTTTTCTCCAGATAGCAACGGAGGCATGGCTATCTCCGGTCATTAAATAATTGACAGACAATAAATCAATGGCGTCAATGTATGAAGTTATCGCTCACCGAGGTGACTTTAGGAAAATAGCATCTCATAAGTACACGAGGCGGCAGAATCTCCGCAACTGCCGAGACTTTACCGACGATTGCATCATTTTGGCTTGATTTTATATGGGGTGCGATTGTGTTTCATGGTCGCCTACAATAATGTTGTTGTTTCCTAGTCTTTAGATGGTATAATAAGCTACCTAGTCTTTGGTATCGATAATGTGGAGCGATTTTACTTGTAGATGGAAGGTATACCAGCTTGAACTGGAAATTCATCTTTCCTTGACGAATGAAGACCACATTGAGAAGATCCCGAGGTGAATCTTTTTTTTTTGAACTCAGATCTTTCCCCCCTTTTCTTCCCTTTTTTGGTAAACCCTATTTTTCATCTAAGCGTCTCGTGCATGAGGCGCATCCCGTGGTATCGTCAGTCGTCTAATTGGTACATAAGTGGTGTTTCTAATGATTCGACCTGCAGCCTTTGCCCAACCATTTGCATGTCGCATCATTGCCCATGACGCCCAAAGAGAGAAAGAAAAGAAGAAGCGGATTCGATAAAGGCATAATAGAATATGCTCTGCCCACCGATTCCTTTCCGCTCGCTCTTTTGCTCGTGTTCCTTGAGGGGTGTCAATGGGTAAAAGCTTAATCAGCTCGTTTCTTGCCACTTGCGTTTGCGCCTTCGCTCCCATTCTGCTCGCCTGTCTGGATCTTGTCACTCGTGCCTATATCACCTTGGGGCTCGTCGTCCTCATCCCAATTATCTACGGCATTTTCATCCCAGTTATCGACCTCTTCCTCCAGCGTGGTTGCGCGGCGATGCTCGGCATCGGTCCCTAGGACGCCTTCCTCTTGGCGGCCTAGTCCCTCACCTAACTCTAAATCGCCCGATTCATCGCCTGGTACGGCACTGTAGCGGCGTTGTCGCTTACGCTCTAGCATCCTCTGGTGATACCACGAGCATAGAGCCAGACCAGCCAAGCTTCCTACTATGTTGGCGATGATGTCATTGAGATCGAAATTGCGACCGTTAGGGAGAAAACCTTGCAGAAACTCGGAACCGACGCCGAGGGCGAGGGTGCATACGACGAGGGTTAGGTTGAGCGTGCGGCGGCGACTCGTGTCGATGACCCAGTAGAAGACGACAGTTAGGATGAAGAAGGTGAGCGCATGAAGAACTTTGTCGTTAATGATGCTGTCGAGCTGGAGGGAGGACAGACCGGCGTAGCCTGCGATAAGGCAGAGCACGAAGAAGACGCCTAGGTGAGACAGGTTGTCAGCCCGTTGCTTATCATTCTGTAAGCCTGGTTGCTAGCTCGTGGGATGTCACGCCGCAAAACAGACGAGAGGAAGAAACGAGAAGAGAAGGGATCAAGGTTAGCATGGAATGGAGGGGGTAAGATGAAAGAGCCAGGAGCTACGGACCTGCGAAAGGCAGCCGAATACGCATATTCACAGGTAATATTCGATCAGAAACGGGACAGGCGTCGAGGCTAGGAAGACATGATTCGGTAGACTGGCGGTATTGGGAATCGTTTAAGTGTGGCCGTGGGTCTGTGGAAGTCTCAATCAAAGATCGGATCTTTGTGGGTTATAGATAGCCAAGAAGGAAAGCTGTAAAGGTTATATAAGTAAGTGAGTATATGTAGGCAGGCAGAGAAAGCTGAGAGCGCTGGAGCTCACAAATGGGAAGCTTGTTGCTTGTTTCGGGGCCACGCGGCGGAAGCTAACCTTACTATAGAATAATGAAAGGTGGCCGGGCGGCCGTGGAACGATGGGGGTGCTTGCTTCTGAACAGCTGCCTGGCTGCTACTACACCACGCCACTGTAGGTACCTACCAACAGCCATAAGTACAGACCCCGGAGTGCTCTACCTACCTAGACACTGTGCAGCGAACCCGCAGACCTACCCATGCACCCCACCTAGTCCGATTAGGTAATCGACTATTTTAGGAAATGGAACACCTGCATCGGCTGGCAACATTTGAATCATTTCTAGAAAGATTGTTGAATACATAGGGGTCTATAAATATATATGAAGAGTCTAATGTCATTTCTTCATACCGTTGCTTTCAGAACTTAATTCATTCCGGAACCCCTTGTAAATACTTATCAACGTACCACGCCTTCGACAAATTGTAGTGATGAACTGAAATTACAGGAGAGTAATAAGTGAAAGAGACATTCACATATTCGAAAAGCCCGTACCTATGACAAGGCCAACTAGTTTGTTCGGTGAGCATACCTATGTCCTTAAAGGTTACCATCCTCTCCTACAATGGAGGAGAGATAAGGAAGAGGAGACCATTGGGCTAAAGGCAGGCAGGCCTTAAAAAATCGAGGATGTTCACAGAGCCTATGAATTTTACTATATATTT